GGCGCGGCGCAGAGATAGCCAATCCATGCCTAGAATGACATCGAAATCCACCATACTCAATAATAAAAGATCGACTCGGGTCTCCATACCCCCAATAGTCACCATACACGACCGGTACACACGGTCTACAATAACAGTATCACCCACCGGGGTAGATACATGAACAGGTAAAGCAAGAAACTCACGAGGAGTACCCAAATAGTGAGCAAAGTATGATGACACATAAGAATAGGTAGAACCGAGATCAAATAGTACAGAGGCATCTCTGTGGCAAACTGAAATAATACCTGTAATGACAACATCAGAAGAAATGACATCGGGTCTGCCTGGAAGAGCATAGAAACGGGCCTGACCGCCCCCAGATCGACCTCCCCCTCTGGGGCGACCCCTGGCTGACTGATCCCCTCCCCTAGCTAGCTGGGCGGGTGGTGGTGGAGCAACTGGCACTACAGCTGATGACTGACCCCTCTGCTGGGATGAACTAGCAACACGGCGGGGACACTGCCTCCACATGTGGCCCATTTCGCCACACTCGTAACAAATCCTAGGTGCTGGAGAAGGGGACTGATGGGAACCCCTCGCACCGGAGTGACCAGCAGATGCACTCGGCATAGAAGCCCTGAACAGATGGAGCACGGGATGAGCTCTGAGCTGGGAGGGCACTAAGTGAAGAATGGCCCTGGTGTGAACTGTGGGAACCATGATCCGATGATGCTCCTCGATAACCCGAGCGATCAGACTGACCCTGGCGGAACTTTCGGCCTTTGCCGTGCTGGAACTGGCCCCTCGAAGGACCACCACTATAGCTACCAGATCCTCGAGGCCTCTTGGACTCCCTCTCCTCTCGCTCTTGGCGACGGACAAACTCAATCTCCCTGGAAATATCCACAACCTCCTCGAATGTAGCACCAGTCACCCTCTCCCTGGTCATAAGGATACGGAGCTGATAAGTAAGACCATCGACAAACCTCCTGATCCTCTCTCGATCTGTTGGGACCAACCAGATGGCATGACGAGCCAACTCAGAGAATCTCAACTCATACTATGACACGGTCATGTCTCCCTGACACAACCACTCAAACTGTCTACGCAACTCCTCTCTGCGAGACTGCGGTACATACTTCTTCAAAAAGAGAACAGAGAACTGCTGCCAGGAAAGAGGTGCTGCACCAGCAGGCCTACGCCTCTCAAAATCCTCCCACCAGGTGAATGCAGGTCCTGAAAACTAATAAGTAGTGAAAGCGACCCCGCTGGTCTCCAAGATACCGGCTGTACGAAGCATCCTCTAACACTTGTCTAGAAAGCCCTGGGCACCTCGCCCTCTGCTCTGCTGAAGGTCGGAGGCTGAAGTCTCCCAAATCTCTCCAGCCTACGCTGCTCATCCTCTAGCATAACAGGAACTACATAGTCCTGAGCAGCTGCGACCGGCTGGGCTGGATGTGCCCCCAGCGTCTGAAGTCCCTGCACGACCTGCTCAGGTGTGCGGGCGGCGGGAGTCTGACTGCCTCTCCCAGCCTGTGAAGTAGCTGCGGCTGTAGTGGCTGAAACCGCCTGAGCTAGGCCAGTGCAAATTGATAATATCTGAGCCAAGGCCTCCTGAAGACCCGGAATCACAATAGGTACAGCTGGTGCCTGAGCTGGTGCTGCTGGAGGGTCCACAGCTGAGACCTGGTCCTGAACTGGGGCAGCTGGTGGATCTGCAGGTGCTGCCCTCGCTGCTCTGGCTCTGCCACGACCACGACCACGTCTTCGGCCTTTGGTGACCGCAGCTGGTGGCACTGGTGGCCGTCCATCCTATCCGGTAGCGCGTGTCCTCACCATCTGTGAGAGAATGGAACAACAGAAGTTTAGTACTCGGATCAACAAACTCGCACGATAAGAATTTCAAGAATGTGAAGTTTTTTCCTAAAGGTTCTGCAGCCTCTCGAGGATAAATACAAACGTCTCCGTACCGATCCGCGAGACTCTACTAAACCTGCTCATGACTCGTGAGACCTATGTAACCTAGGCTCTGATACCAAATTGTCACGACCCTAACCCCGAACCCGGTCGTGATGGCGCCTCTCGTGAAGACAAGGCCAGCTAGTTTAATCCAATTTCCTCTTTTAAGGCAGTTAAATAACACAAAATAGTCTAAGCATGATTTGATAATTCTAAGTAGCGGAAATATCAAGAATAATGCGGAAATCCAACCCAATACAGCCCTAACAGAGGTGTCACAAGTCAAGAGCATCTACGAATCACAGTACAACCTACTAAAGTCATAAACTACTACAAGTGTTTGTAGGAAACATAGATGATAGAAGAGTAGTGACACGGGGCTGCGGACGCCAACATCTACCTCGTAATCTCTGAAAAAGCCCGCCTGGAACTGGAGGAAAATCAACACTCCGGAGCGAAACCAGCTACGCCTGAATCTGCACACAGGGTGCAGGGAGTAAAGTGAGTACTCCAACTCAGTGAGTAATGAATATAAATAATGACTGAAAGCAAGAAAACACGTAAAGCATATGGCAGTCCTTAATGAAGCAGTAAAATCATTTATAATCAGGACAACCAGTAAGAATCAGGAAACATGCTCTTTAAACCAATAAACAGGTAATTGGCAGATAATCAGGATAAAGTAAACAAATAAAAGTTTGCCCCTCGGGCACACTAACACCACAGCCGCCCCTCGGGAAACATCTCACAACAGTAACAGCCCCTCGGGCTCAATCTCACATCACACTGGGTACCCGCGCTCACTGGGGGTGTGCAGACTCCTGGAGGGGCCCCTTACGACCCAAGCGCAATAACAAGCCATCTCGTGGCATCACAACTAGGCCCTCGGCCTCAAATCAGTATTAATGTCTCCTCACAACACAGGCCCTCGGCCTTACTCGGTCAAAAATACTCACAAGCCCCTCGGGCAATAGTAAAACAGTGTGTCTCAGCCCAAAACGTCATTTAAAAGATCACTTAAGTCTCAAAAACTGAGTAAAAACCGGCTGAGTAGTAAAACAGTGGAAAATACATGACTGAGTTCAAGTAGTAATTCAAAGCAGTGAGGAAATATCAAGAAAAAGCCCCGAAGGGTTCAAATAATATGCACGAACCCCAAATATGGCATTCAGCCCAAATCATAGTGATAACAAATATGTTTCAGTCAAATACGCGGTAAAATCATCAACCGGGACGGACCAAGTCACAATCCCCAATAGTGTACGACCCCACGCTCGTCAACAAGCGTGTGCCTTACCTCAACATAGCACTACGATGTGCAATCTGGGGTTTCAAACCCTCAGAACATCATTTACAAGCATTACTCACCTAGAACCGACTAAATCCCTAGCTCGCGACGCCTTTGCCCTTTGAATTGGCCTCCACGCGCGTCGAATCTATCCAAAATCAGTATGAATACGTCACAATATGCTAAGGGAACAAAGCTCAAGCGAAAACAATCGAAAAATACCAAAAATCCCGAAATTAGAAAACCCGAGCCCCGGGCCCACTTCTTGAAACTTAGAAATTTTTACACCAACAGGTTCCTTATCTCTTCACAAGTTCATACATACCAAAAACATCAAAATCCGTCCACAAATGACCCTTCAAATCCCAAATTAAAGGTCCAAAATTTCAAGCCCTAGTTCTTCCATTTTTAGCTTAAGTTTCCATGATTTTCTAGGTAAATTTCACAATAGAATTGAGTTTTAAGTCCAAAAATCTTACCTCAAGTCGTTTCTCCTTGAATCCCTCTTTAATCTCCTTCAAAAAGCTCTCAAAATGATCAACAATGGGTGAAAATAGACCCAAAATCGCTGACAAGACGACTTAAAAATATTCTGCCCAGGCCTGACTTTCCTTCTTCGCGAACGCGGTCAAAACCTCGCGTTCGCGTAGCACAAACTTACGTCGACCATATTTTACTCTTTGCGAACGCGGTACACCCATCGCGAGCGCAATGCTTTCTCCTCCTACACCTTCGCGAACACGACACCCCTTACGCGAACGCGTAGAACAAAAGACCTTGGGCCCCTCGGACCCCGAATTACTCTACGCGATCGCGAGTTCCCTCTCGCGAACGCGATGCACTGCATCCCAGCCTTCCGCGAATGCGAAGCCCATTGATAATAGGTGAATTTGACTATAATCACGCACCAAATAATCACCTTCTTGTGAACTTTTAATGTGGAAAAATGACAACAAAATGCTCTTATTAGTGCTTTTCATGATTTGCAGGTGATATAGGTGTAAGGAAGGCTAAGGAGCGGTTTTGGAGTCAACTATTGATGAAAAAAGGCTAATTGTTGAATTTCCCAAGTAACCCATTCAAAACAGGCCAAAATGCCCGGGTACAAGTTCCACCGCGGTTCTACCGCGACCGCGGTGGAAGGCAGTTTCTTAAGATTGAAGATTCCGCAAGGGCGTTTGACCGCGGTTCTACCGCGACCGCGGTAGAACCGCGGTGGGCACAGTAAACTTCAGGGACTTAAGTGTAAAACACGGGATTTTTAGACCAAAACCCTATTTAAAATGCTAGACTTCGCCCAAGAGAGGCATGTATTGATTTCTTAGGTTTCTTAGCAAGGAAAACAATTGTGAGCAAGTACTCTAAACATCTTTCTTCTTTCTTTTGATTTTTATGATGAATTCTAAGCGTAGTTTATTCTCCCATATCTATGAGTAGCTAAATTCCTTGTCTAAGGCTTTGATGGAACCTATTGGGTGATGAACTTCTTGTTTATGTGAATACAAATTGCTAGTTAAATCTTTATTTGTTCAACTTCGTGTTCGTTGTAGTTAATTGACAGGATCCTCAATTAGCTGTGCCAATTTAGTGTGCATAACTTGGAAAAGAGTGCATATTTAGGGTATTGTTGAACAACACCACTCCTAGATTATTAGAGGAATCTATAATTGCGGGTTTAAAGGCGGGATTAGGAATAACGAAGCCTTGGGTGCAATCTAAATTTGAATGTGCTAAATAAAGCAAGCTAGTGTATCTCGGGCCCCTCGGTTGCCCCTCCGTGCCCCGCCCCTCCGTCTGCCCTCCCTGTCCCTCGGCCCTGTCCTGCTCGTCGTCCCCGTCGCTGGTGGCCTGGCGGCCCCTCCCCCACCCGGCGCCTTGTTGGCCTCTGCGCCCTGCCCCCGTCCCCCCGCCCCCTCCCCTTTCCCTCCCCCTTCCCTAGGGCCCGTTTGCCTCCCTTCCCGCCCTCCCCCTCTTGTTGCCCGGTCCGGGTCCGCCCCAGCGGCCCTCCCTTTCCCGCCGCCGGCTCTCTTTCCTCCCTCTCCCCTTTTCCCCTCGGCGGCCGCCGCTCCATCGGGCCTTTCCTGCATGCCCGTTTTCTTCGCTTTGGCCCGGCCGTCCTCCTCCGCCTGTTTCCGCTTGGCCTCTCGCTTCCTCCTCCGCCGGTCGGTGCCGGCCGCCGCGCGCCTGTGCCTTTTGGGCGCCCTTACTTCCTGCCCCCCGTTCCCCCCCCCTCCCCCCCTTGCTTCGCTTCCTGCCCCTCCGGTGGTTTCCTCGCTTCCCCCCCCTGCCCCCCGCTCTCCCCTCCCCCGCTCCCTTTTCCGTCCTCCCTTCCGGACCCCTCCCCCCCCTTCTTCCCGTCCTCTTCTCCCCGCTCTCCCCCACCCCCCCCCGCCCCCTCCCCTTCTCCCCCTTCCTCTGCTCCCCCCCTCGCCCCCCCCTTCTCCTTTCCCCCCCCCGTTCCCCCTCCCCCCCTCCTGTCCCCCCCCCCCTCCGTAGGGCTTAGCCCCCCCCCACAATCTCCCCCCTCGTGCCCTTCCTTCTTGGGCCCCCCCTGCCCCCTCCCCTCTTCCACCCTCCACCTCGTTTTCGGTCTCCCCCCCCCTTTCCCCCTTTCTATTCTCCTGGCGCCCCCCCTCCTGTGACCCCCCCCCCCCCCCCTCCCCTCCCCCACCCTCTCCCCCTCCTCCTCCTCCCCGCCTCGCCCCCCCTTTGCCCTTCCTCTCCTGCTCCTCTCGGGTTTCCCTCCCTTCGTCCCCCTTCCCCCCTTCCCCTCCTTCGACCACTCCCGCCCTCGAGCGCGCGCGGCGCCGCACTTCCTTGAGTTGGCGCGCGGCGCCCCCTGGCGGTCTGGGCGTGGCGGTTGGGGCTTGCTCTGGTGTTGGCGCCGCCGCCGCAGCCGCCCGCCGCAGCGCGAGTGGGTTTGTGCCGCGCTCGACGCCCGCCAGCGGGGCCTGGGGGGTTTTTGGGCGGCCTGCTGGGGTCTTTCGGGTGGGGGGGGGGGGGGGTGTTGTCGGGGGTTTTCCCCTTACGGCCCCGCCCGCCCACGCCCCTTCCCCTCACCTCCGCCCCTGCCCGGCGTCTGGCCCTGCCGTGTTCTCGCTTTCGCGGTGGCCCCGCGGCCCGTGCGGTTCAGGCGGGTGTGTTCTCCCGCGGTTTCCCCCGCGGTCCGCAGGTGGCCCGCGGTCGCACCGCCTGTTCTGCTTCTCCCGCCTCCCTTTTTTTTTTTCTCCGCTCGCTTCCCCAGGTTCCCCTTCCACCCCCTTGTCCCTGGGTTGCCTCCCCCGTCGCGCCTGCTTTCACGTCGCGGCCCGCCTCCTGTGCCGCGCCGTTCCGGTTCGCTCGCCCTCTGGGGTTCCTTCCCGCTGCCCGCTCGTCCCTCTCCTTCGGCCTCGTTCCTGCCCCATCCCCTTCCCTCGCTGCCCACTTGCCTCTCCCCTGTACCGCACGTCCTTCCGTCGCCCTTCCCCGCTCCGGCCGGCCCCCTTCCCCCCCGCGCCCTTGGTCCGCCCCCCTTGCCTTTTCGCTTCCCTCGGCCTCCGCGTCTTGCGTTCTCACGTCGTCCCCGGTTTGCCCTTTCGTTCCCTCCTTTCTGCTCGTGCCGCTTTTCCTCTTCTCTTTCTCTCCGCCTTGTGCTTCTCGCCCGCCCGCCTCCCGGCACTCCTCTCGCTCCTGTCCTTCCGTGCCTCTCGCCGTGCCCCCCGCTTCCCCGTCTCCCTCCGTCTGTTTCCGTGCCCCCCAGCTTTCTGTTCCCGTTCTCCCCGGTCGGTGCCCCGCCTTCCACCCCCCCCCTTCTCTGGTGCCTCCCCTTGTGTCTTGCCCTGCTGTCTGTCCGCCCCCTCGCGCCTCCTCCCGCTTCCTTGCCCCGTCCAGTTTCTTGTCCCTTTCCCGTTTTTGTCCCTCCCCTTCTTGACTCTCGTCTGTTGCCTCCTCCCCTGTCCCCTGTCGTGGTGGTCCGGCGTCGCCCCCTTGTGGCGCCCCTCACTCTTTCGCCCCCCCTTCTCGACGGCCCGGTTTGCCGCCATGCGTTCCCTCCCTCGCTGCCCTTGCCCCGTGGTGTCCCCCCGCCGGGTGCCTCTGTTCTTCTTTAGCCCCCCGCCTCCCCCCTTCGCCTCATTGGTCGGTTCATGCAGCCGCTTCCCCCCCCTTGGACCACGTCCTCTCCCAGCCCCCGCCTGTCTTTTATTGCCCCTCCGGCGCTCCTGCGCCCACCTGACATCTCTCCCCCCCCCTCCCCCCCTTCCCCTTCTTGCCCCCTGGTTCCTGGGCCTCTCGTGCCGCCGGGCCCTGTTCCCGGTGCCTTGACATTCCTTGCCGCTCTTGCCCACTAAGTGCGCCTCCTTCCCTCCCGTTGGCCCGCCCATCCGGCCTCTCCCCCTATCAGCTCCCGTTCTGCTGCCTCCACGTGCCCGCCATATCGCCGCCGCGTGCCCCGCCTGCCGACCGCCGCTTGTTAGCTCTCGGGCCGCCTCTCGGCTCTGTTCTCCCGGCCTCTTCCTCCCCCAGTCGGGCCTCCTCCCCGTCCTCCCCCTGCTTTCTGCGCCCGCCTCTCTTCCTCTGGCCCCGCTCCCCGGTCCGTGCGCCCCCCTCCCCCTGGCCCGGTCCTTCGCCTCGTCTGGCCTCCCCGGCGCTTCCTGCTGCGTGGTCCCGCGCCGCTGCTCCTTCCTGGCCCCGTTTCCGCCCTTTCCTCCACTTCTCCTCCCTTCTCAGCTCCTTCACGTCGTGCTCGGTGCTCCGGCGCCTTGCTTTTCCGTGCCCTTGCGGTCCCGCCTTTCCCCGCTCGGCCCTCTTGCCGTCGCCCCCCCCCCGCCTCCGGCGTGGTTCGCGTCCCTTCTTTCGCTTCAGTCTCTCAGCTTGCCTGGTCCGAGTACCTCCGATTCCCCTTGGCTCCCTCTTCGCTCCGGACCGCACTTCTCCCACGCCCTCCCCCCGCTCGCCTTCTTTCTCTGTCCCTGTGTGTTCCGCTGGGCTCCCCTTCCGCGTCCTCCTCGCCTCGTCCCTTGGGTCGCTCCGTTTTTGTCCTTCCGCTGGCACCCGCCCTGCCCCCGCCTCGTCCCTGGCCTCCCCTCCTTCGCCGGTTGCTCCCCGCGGGGCCCCGCTTCTGGGTGTTGTCCCCCCCTTTGCTTCCCTCTCCCACGCACCCCTGCCTTCACTCCGCCACTCCCCCCGGGTGCCTCTTTCTCTACCCTTCCCGCGCGGGTTGGCAATTTTGGCGCAGTCTTCTCTGCCCTCGGTCGCATCCGGCCTGTCCCGCCCGTTCCCTTGTGGCTTTGCCTGCAGTTGGCGGCGGCACGCTTTGCTCTGCCCTCCCCCTTTTGCTCTCTCCCCCTCCTTCCTTTTCTTGACACTCGGTGCCCCAAGACTATGCCTCCTGTACATGAAATGCACCTTTTCCATTCAGACCAAGTTTTAGTCTCATGCACCGTTTTCACACACCGTCAAATTCCACTAGGCAGTCCTCAAAATGGGGAGTTCCCCACCACTGAAAGTCATCCATGAAACAACTCCATTATATCTTACTACCATGTCAGTGAATATGGCCATCATGGCACCGTTGGAATGTGGCGGGTGCATTGCATAGACAAAGGGCATCCTCCTGAAGCATAAATCCATACGGGCATGTGAATGAGGTCTTTTCCTCTATCCTCCAGGGGCAATAGAGATCTGATTGTACGCCTGAGTACCCAATCCAAAAGCAAAAGTGTGACCTCACCTGCCAAATCTATCCAGCATTTGATCATGAAGGAAGTGGGAAGTGGTCTTTTTCTGGTGGCCAGATTCAATTTCTATAATCCATGCAGATTTCCCCTCCTGTGACGGTTTCTTGTTGATATAAGTTCATTGTTGTCAATACTTTACCACCGTCCTGCCACCACTTTTTAAGCACACATTGAACTGGGCTAACCGGCTACTGTCAAAATTGGGAAAATGATTCCAAGCATCCAACCATTTTATCACTTCCTTCTTCACCATACTATCCTTTCAATATTCGGATTTAGCCGCCCGTGATGGTTCTCTCTGGAAGGTTTGTGCCGCATCTTCCAGCAGAATCTGGCAATGGCGAGTAGGCGGGGCTGATATGCCCCTTGATGTCTGCGATGGTCCCACCCAATGGCAGTTTGCACCCGTAGTACCTGTAAGAAGCTGTTGAAGCCAGTGGCACATCTAAAAAAACCCCCGAGATGAGGAGTAGATAAGCAAGTAATGTGGAGATGCAGGCCGGCCAGAAATGTGCATGGACCTTGAGGTGGGTCTTGGCAAAGGCTTTCAAATTCCAAGGGTGTAGGGGGGTTCTCGATGGAATGGTTTAGGCTGGAGGGGTCTCTCTTGCTCGTTTTCTAAAGTGAAGGGGCTCAGGAACTGCCAGATTGTCTCTCCCAGAACCCTGTACGCTTCTAGTGCCAAACTCCATTCCAGCCAAAGTCCTCAACCATTCACTTCATCCAAATTTGTCAAACATGCAGCAAGGGATCCTGCGATCCGTGCGGAACGCCGGGCGTCGTCATCTCTGGCCCGGTAAATTAAGGGTCGTACTGCATCAGACAAGGGAACAATGTTCAAACTCACTGGGTCGGCTCATCGATTTCTGCACATTGAATATAATTTCCTCATCATGTGAGCCTCATTTAAGCTCCCGGTCTCGCAATCAATCAAAGCTCTTCCGTGGCAAGAAGGGTCGTTCCTAGGAATTATGAGAATTCTTCATCCACTTTGTGCAATCCAAGATTACAAATCTGGCAGGGGAACACGAATTTCCCACCTGAATAACACATCATCAAGAATCCCAAATGGACGCTTAACAGTCCTGTCAGCCAGCTGCAATAACATAGAAGTAGGTCGAGCCTGCCAATGGCCTAACCTCTTATAAATGACCAGGGGCATGAGATTAATGTTGGCCCCTAAATCAAAAGTGCCTTGCAAATGCATAGTTCCCAATGGTGGCATGGAATTGTAAAACTATACCTGGATCAGATAGCTTTCAGCAAACAGGTCTAGATACCATGCACTACATAACTGAGTAAGGAATCACAGTCGATAGGTCCTTGAAAGCCAAAACTTCCGAGACATCAAGTCCTTCATCATTTTAGCATATCCTGGCATCTCCTTTAAGAGCTTCAATCAGTGGAATGTTTATCTGGATTTGTTTGAGCATCTCTAGGAACTTTTTGTACTGCTCCTCCTTTTCATGCTTGGCCAACCTTTGCGGGAATGGTGCAAGAGGTCTTTTCTTCCCAATAACGTGAGGTTTCTCCTTCTCAGCTACTGTCTCAACTATTTGTTCCGCTGTGCTGTCTAATTACTGGCTCAATTACTGTCTCAGTCTCTTGCTGGCATATTCTTTTCTTCAGGGGCAGGCTGAACCGTTACCTCTGTCAATCTCGTAGAGTCATCCAGTTCAATGGGTACTGGAATTAGTGTCTCAGCCTGTTTATGTTTTCTCGAGCTCTCTCTGCTCACAATCTAGATCCCTGCCATTTTCGTAGACTCACCGCCATCAGCTGCTTTGGGCCTTGATCTTTTGGATTGATTGGGTATCTGCAGGTAATGTTCCTTGAGGAATTGTTAAGTGACATTGAAAATCTGGCCCACTTTGTACCTCAATATTTCTTGATAGCTGCATCATGTGCATCCACCCTTTCATTTATTTTAGCATGGACCCAATAACCTGCTGCATAATCGCTTCAAGCCTTGCAAACCCGTCTTCTATCTTCCACCTCTGCTGTTGTTTGCGGTGGGTGGTACCTTGGCTGCTGATTGTTGTACCTTATGTGGTCTAGGATACGGTGCAATGTTGTTGGGGGGTCTCATGCCTCCCATGTTTCCCGGCGTTATATACTGTGGCTGCGGTGGCCTGTACTGCTGCTGAGTCTGCTGACCCCAAGTTCTGATTACCGTTGCCTCTACCCCCATAGTTAGCCACATAGTTCATATCTTCAGGGTGCTGGTGAGAGTGATCATGCTCTGTATTCCATGGATTACCAAGTGGCTGGCTAATGCAGATGTGCACAAGCCCCGTTGGGTAGTATCCTACTATGTGAACCTATTGGCTTCTGCCCTGATTCCCTCCACCTTTTGGTGAGAATGCTCATTTGCGTCAAAGAGTTGCCATGTTTTCAGCCATTGTATTAGAAGGATCAAGAGGCACAGAGTGCACCACTGAGTGATAGGTGCATTTCGAAGAAGTCAACCCGAATTCTACGCCATCTTGTCGAGCAAATTTCTGACCTTCCTCTCCAAGTCTTGCTCAAGAATGTCCCACCAGCCGAGGATCAACTATATTTTTTCAAGCTGTCTGACAATCCCATGTAAAACCGTTTGTCCCAACATCTGCTTCTGGAACACCATGGTGGGGACACATAACCAAACATCCGTTAAACCTGCCCCACGTCTCGTGTAGTAATCTCCATTGGTTTCTATTTGAAAGCTCACAAGCTCATCAATTTGTTGAGCGGTCTTGTTGGGAGGATGGAACTTGTGTTGAAATTGCTTGACACTCACATCCCAAGTTGCTATAGAGTTTATGGGAAGTGAGTTTAGACCACACCTGAGCAGCTCCTGTCACCGAGAATTGAAACAATAATAATCCGATTGCTCCGGATCACGTTTCGGGTTGCCTTTGAGTTTGCAAATAGATCAGGAAGTTCTTTAAGTGTTGCTGAGGGTCTTCTATTTGTGGTCCCAGAAAAAAGTTCCCTTGTTCTGCAACAAGTGTAGCATGTTTTTTGATCTGGAAACGATTCGGCTTGTATCCGCAGGGCACAATAATGGCAGTGGCCAGATTGTCAGTTGTGGGCTTGTGCCCAGTCAATAAAAGTGCACCCCTCAGGCACAGGAGGTGCCAATTGCGTCATTCCTGACGTTCCCTTTGGTTGGTCGTTTATGTCGCCATGTCAATTTCGAGTTTTGGGTGTTTGTTGTGATTGTTGAAGTCTTTTGTTTGCACGATTCAATGCCCGATATGTCTTCTCGGGTCTGAGAGTCCTTCAAGTAGTTCTCCAGTCCTCGATAGAATTTCTAGGCATGCACCTGTGTACCCAGATCAACAAACCGTCAAAATTTTCAATGAAAAAGTTGGTAGAGAGAAAACTGACTAACAGTAAGAATCTTTGTATTTCGTCAATGGCAATTGATAATTCCGTTAACGCCCCGGCAAACGGCGCAAAAAATTTGATCACGCCCAATTATGCCTTATAAAAAGGACATGCGGTCGCTGCAAATATAATCCGGTTTAACAATTCCGGAGTCGAATCCCACAGAGAGTTAACCTATCAATGCTACCTTCAGACCCACAAGTCTTCAGCACCAAGCTTCTCAAATATTCAAATTCTCAGTTGAGTTTCTTTAATAACTAACTTTGCAAGTAACTAAAAGGCTATAACTAAATCAAATGGTTGTAAACAATTATGAGAAAAAGCTAAGGCAATGATTCTCCCTATTGATGGAATCCCTTCTGTTTTATGCTCATACAAATTTACCCCACACATCTCTATCAATTCATGAACACTAATCTTACGCAAAATCTCTCCCGAGTAATCACAGTAATTACTATTAGCCACTCCTC